GTCTCCAGCAGCTGGGATGCAGTGTTTGTCCTCTGCTTCCTTATGCACTTGGTCACTGTTGGTCTGACTTCAGGCTTGGGAGTCAGGCAGCTTTCTGCTGGGGCTGCCTAGTGAGACTGGGGGAAAAGAATGGCATTTTTTTGCTTTTGAATTGCAAAACATTATCCTTTGTTCGAAACCCGGCTCTGTGGTGCTCTTATACTGCATGAGAATGAAAGTGAAATCAATTATTCTTCTTTGATCAAGAAGCTGGGGTGCATTCAAGTGAGAAAGTGAACTGCCCCCCTTTTGCTCGAAGTCTCCCTGACGAGGCTTAGCAAAATGCAGACAGCAAATGGTGTGTGCAGGGGGGAATCAATGAGGCTGTTCTGAAAATCTTCCACTTCCAGGAATGCAAACGGGATGAGGCCAACAGCCTGTGCTTGAAAATATGGGGTCCAGTCCTGGTGTGTGTTACAGACCCATAAATCACAGCTGGCAGCGCGGGTGAACTGCTGAAAGGTCACTCCAGTGTAGGATCCATGGGCTCCCTGGCATGGGCACACGGATTCCTCTCATTCCTTAGCCATCCTTCTTTCCTTTCCATCTTTTTGTGTGTTTAATATAGCAGGGCTGTACTATGGCTTCTTCTGCTGCTGGATTGCTGTAGTGGAAATGCTAAGTCACAGGCTCAAACAGTGATGGAGCACCTGGTGGGAAAGCAGGGCCAGCCCAGGGAGCTCAGGTGCATGCAATGTACCTAAGTGACTGGAAGGGGTAGAGCCAGGATGCTCCCCTTTCCAGACCTCATTGAGGGGCCGGTGGGGGAGGTGAGGGCATCTCTTGCTGGAGATCCCTGCATACTTGAGGCCTTCTAAAGGTAAACAGTTCTTTTCTTTCATTTCTGTACCTGTGGCTACTGCACTTGGGCTTGTTCTCATTTGCTGTAGCCAAAGGCTTTGCCACCCTGCCATTATCATCCCATTATAGCATTACAGTTGCCACCCCTACGCTGTTGCCCAAGTGCCCCAACTGGGAGCCATTGGGGCGCTGCAGGGACAGCTGCACGCAGCTTCCTTGTCTACTGCTGAAATGCGTCATGCCTGAGTAACTTCCCATGTGTTTTAATACTGTAGTCTATCTGAGGAAGCTGGATCCAGCCCCACTGTGCCAGAAGGAGCATGCTAGAATAGTCTCTCCTGCCCTGCAGCCTGAAGGTTTGCTGTTCAGTTGCTGCTAACTCCTCCCATCACAGCTGATGCTGGCAGTTCCTTCTGCAACCAGAACCAGGGGTTTGGAAGTGATAAGTCCCATGATTGCTTATTTTGACACGTGTGGTGGTGGCAGATTTGCAGACAGCTCATGGCTGAGGACAATTAAAAAAAAAAAAAAAAAAAAAAAGGACATGTGCTTCCTTGTAGATCAAAACTAAAGATTTGCATGGCATGCTTCTTGCTTTACACCATCACAGGATCTGGCCTCCGAGTAAAAGCAGCAGCTGGGCCCATTGGTTTGTTGGTGTGTGTATTGATGAATTTCTGAGCAGGTGCTGCTGCTGGCAGTGCTGAAGAGCAGCAAAAAGGAAATGTCTCCAGCTTTAGTTATCTTGCATGATCTTTGTGTTAGATAGCTTCAGCAATGTTCTTTTGAATCGAGCAGTTTAATAAATGAAACCTGAGAAGCACAGGAACAAGTAAACACAGAAAGCTGATAGGGATCCTGCAGGCATCAGTGTCCTGTGTTAACAAGATGGGTCTGTGTCTCAGGGCAGGTGTTCAGGTGCAGAGCTTCCTGTGCATATAACCTGAGTTTTAAGTCAGTGTAAGACTCCAAGCTGAGATTTTCGTAGGAAGGATCTTGTTGTCCTAACTGTGCCGTGCGTGGGGAGCTTAGGTAGCTTTGCCAGTGATGGTCAGAACTGCTGGAGCAGAGGAAATAACTTGAGATTTCTGAGCTGGCGACTTTGGCCAGCAAACAACAAATATTAGAACTGTGTGGGAAAGACATAAAAATGCATACGTCAAAGCAGTACAGGCTTTTAAGTGTTTTTCATTTAAAATGAAAAGGTCAGATTGAGTGGGGCTGTCATGTGGGGACCTGTACGTGTACCTGCCAGCCCTCCAGGAGCAGACCCCTGTCAGGCCGTGCTGGTGGCTGACTCTCTGAACTTGTCAGTGCTTGAAAACTGGCAACCAGAGCAGTTACAACTCCAATTTTCCTTGCAGTGCTCAGGCTGATACTGAGCTTCCCAATGTGAGGCTGCTTTATCCCAGCTGTATTGGTGATCAGGCTGCAGCTTCTGCAAGTATAGCAGTATTGATTTAAGGAAACAATAGTAGGAATTGAACTCTGGGTACTTTTGCAAGACTTTGAAGCGTAAACCAGATTTAAAGGTAGATCAGTAAACAGGAAGCCTTGCTTTATGTATTGTTCTTGTGCTTTAAATGAATGTGTTTCTTATCGTGAGATGTTGTGATCTGTGCTATCAGTGGCACAGCAGTGGTGTCAGCAGTAGTGCACGAGCTGCTGCTGGTCATCGCATCTCAGGATTTTGCACTTAGATCTCTTTCAGCTTTGTATCTTTCAGTTGGGATGGCTTTAGAACTTCTGAGCGGTTTTTTTTTGTGAACTGTACCTTAAATTTAGCTATCTGGGGGGTAAAAAGAAGGAAATGCTTCTTCTTTTAATAAGTCCCTGTTACGGTACTTTGTTCAGGGGCTGCTCAGTGCTTTGACTGTGCCGACTGATTCCTGCTGTTTGGCTTTGCTTTAAAATGCTTTTGAATGACAAACTGCCAATTGAAATGCTCGAGAGTGCATTAAAATAAGTGGTCTGTACTGCACTACACATAAAAATAGAGTTTCACGTGTGTGCACATCCATGTGTCTGGACTGGGAAGTCTGTCCCTGCAGCTGCTGCTCTGAAGGCATGAGCACACTGCTGTGTTGGGTTCTGCCAGATGGGAACTGTGTTCTGCTGAGCTGTGTTACCGGAGGGACTTTCTCCTGTTACCTCTTGCAGTGTTGTAATTGCATTCTGGAATCTTTTGGTGCGGGATCATAATCAGAATTAGACACGTGCTGACCGCTGAGCATCCACTGTGGTAAGCTAGAGAAGGGGCTGGAGTCGTGTAAAGCAAAAAGATGTCTGTTAGTGGTATTTCTGCTGCAAAAGCAGCTGAACATTCCCCACAGAGGTTGCTGGGAGAAGTGGGAAACCCAGAGGTGTCTCCTAGGGTTGGTCTTCAGAAGTATTTCCCTGGGCACTGCAGCAGAGCGAAGACTTGTGTTGACCAGTGATCACTGGGGCTTGTCTGTGCGTTGTGCTCTTCTCCTGAGCCAAGGTGGGGATGGGCATGGCTGAGGACCCATGTCAGAGAGAGGGGCAGGTGCTTCTTTGGGACAGGGTGCTGCCCTGTGGCCCCACATCAGCTCTGGGATATGGGCAGCCTTGAGCTCAGGTGAGCTGAGGCAGGAAGGAGTGGGTTTGCTGCAAGCCTGTGGCCGTGCAGTGGGATAACTGATGGGGACAGCCACAGCAGGGAGAAGAGGGTGTGGGTCAGTGAGCTGAGTCTGCTGGCATCCTGTAACTGATCTGATAAATATTTCTTGAGTTAAACTGGCTGGAAGACAAGTCTGAGCCAAGGTCTTCTAAACACAGGTTGGATCCCAAGAATATTGTTTTACCTGGAGCTCCCAGAGGTGCTGTTGTGGATTGAATTGAAACAGTGTTGGAACCAGAGGGGAATGTTGTTGTCTTCTGCCTTTGCAGATAAGACCGAAGGGCATATTGCCAGGAGCCTGTGGGAAGGACCTAAATTGTATATAACTCTACATCATTTTAAAATGAAAAGTAAACTTGCACAACCATAATATTTGCTTATACTTGTCTCTTCCATGACGGATGAAGAGAAATTGCTCCATGGCTGAATTCAGCAGCAATAAAACTGTGCAGTAACTCATCTAAAATTTCTGAACCCTGTGGTGAGTGGGAGAGGCCACTGCTATCTCTGGCCCCATTTGTCCTCACTGCACCAGAAGGCAGCGCTGAGGCTCTCAGGGACTTCTGTACCTGCCCTACCCACACATGGGCCCTGTAGGCTGGCTGCTAACACAGGGTCCGTGGGGGTGAGCTGGGGAGGTGCCAGGGGTCAGGTTGGACATCAGTGTGCTCTTGTGGCATTGGTATGATGGAGATGTACCACTGCTCGCAGACCTGGATTGTGAGCCACCTGTTGTGTTCTGCTGTATGTTGTTGGTAGACCTGTGGGCTCATACATCCTTAGGAGCGATTCAGGTAAAGCAAGCACGAGCCTGAACTGAGCATTTCCATCATTATGGCAGCAAAAAGCAGTAGTTTTTTTTGTGTTGAGATGTAATAATGAAGTGATCCTGCACTTGTCATCAGCAGGGATGGGGATGTCAGAGTGCTGGGGTTGTGGCTGGAATGAGATGCTGGGCAGGGGCAGGAAGGAGTGTGCGGTTCAGATGCTGCCTGTCTCTGTGGATCCACTCAGCAGCATGTCCTGGGGTCATGCATGCAGGGTGCCACTTGTGTGGCTTGGCCTCTCTGCTCTACCAGCATCTGCTGCACAGGGAAACACAGCAGCAACTCGGTTAGAGTAACAGCAAATCCTATGAGCTTTGAAACAGGAATAATACCTCCTACCTCCTGTGTTGGCTCAAAGGACAGATTTAAGCTGTTTCTTGCATTTTGTGCTTCATTTTATGCCTTGCATCCCTACCTTTACAAATTGTCACATCTTGTTACATTCCTAGTGTGGCACCTTAGAGCTCGGTGGTTAGAGGTGGTGATGTTTGGTTTCATGGGGCATAGAGGGTGGCTGCTGTAAAGCAGTCCAGAAGTATGAAGACTTCAGTCTGAAAAAGCTGGGGAAGGAAAATGCTCCGTTTCCCAGAAGTTGTGTGGGTTAAGTTGCAAGTTTTAGAGAAGAGCCGTCGGAAGCCCACCCGGCACACATCACATGGTAACTCTCTCTCTCTCTCTCTCTCTCTTCACAGGGCTGTGAAAGAAACCCAAAGTCGTGACTCTGGCAGCACCCTGCGTGCCTCCAGAAGCCCCGCTCCGAGTTCATCCCACCAGCAAGGCTGTGCAGCGCGGGAGCCGGTATGTACCCACATGTCACAGCCGTATGGGGTGACTTCTCAGAAGGATTTGTGGCTTTTTATGACAGTAGCGTATTGTTTGTGACTCTTTTAGGGGAGAAAAGTCTTTTAACCGAGTGTGGAGGAGTTGGGATCACTAGAAAATGGGGTAGAATGGTGATTTCCTTGTGCTGTTTGCTCAGTGGGAGCTGTGAGAGAAAGGGCTCAGCACCAGCAAGAAGCTGTGAGTGTTGAGGCTGCAGATACACTGTGCTGCTTGGTGTGTTGTGTGGCAGCACACGTTCATAGGTGGTGGTTGGGTGTGCTGACAAATGCATGCATAAGAAATGCATGTAGACATGTATATACATACATGGGTGCAGTACAGATCTGGGCACATGGAACCAAGGATGTGCAGCACATATGTCATACATGCTGCGTGCTGGCATGTGAGAGCTTGAGGGGGTATATACCAAATGTCTGTATATACTATATATGGCAATAAGGAATGCATTTGCATTCACATTCTCTTTTTTTTTCTTTTTCTGTCTCTTCTGTGTCTCTGTGAAGCTGTTGCAAAGCTACCAGATTCAACCTCCTGGGGAGCCTTTCTGGCCAAGGTTTTACAAGCCAGCACCTGCTTTGCCTGCTTTACTTTCTATATTTATTCCCTTGCACCTGGTTTTTCATCTTTGCCTGCAAAGTGGAACTGTCCCAAACGTTTGTGTTAACTTTTGGCTGTGCAGGACTTCAGCTTGCAAGTCCTAAGCCTGCTTTTGTGCTTTTTGTGGGAGGGGATGTAGGTGTATGTATCTCTGTGATGCTGCAGCAGTCCCCGTGCTACATCTGTTGTACAAGTTGTGCTTTCAGCCTCTTTGAGGCATTTTTATGAATCAAATATTCTGGGAATCCTGCTTTTGTAATACTATTTTAAGGAAATTGGTCACACCTGACCCATTGTCCAAGTAATAACGAGCTGTGCTGCTTTGCAGGAGCCCTTGGATTAGATTTTATTCCCAGACCCCTGTGCTTTTACTTTTACCCTGGAGGGTTGGGAGTATGGCAGAGAGGGACTGGTGGTGCAGCTGAGAGCTCACTGATTCAGCTGTGGTGGCACACAGATGTGTCCAAATGACAAATCACTCTGTCATTTGGAGTGAAAGGTGCTCTTAAACAACGCCACTGACTCAGCTCATGCTTAGGTACCAATGTTTAAGCATAAGAGCAAGACGAGTCATAATGCCGCTTCAATTGGAACCCGAAGAGACATCGTAATGCCACACAGAGGGTCTGCAATCAGCAGACGCCGCTGGAGGGAACACACATCCTTAATCCTGGATGCTGGGTTGTTGTTGTGCCCCATCCTTGGCAGTGTCCCCTTGGGGCTGCAGCACTTTCTCCCAAGCTCTGGGCACAGAAGGGCTGCACTGGGCTGCCTGCCAGGAGCCAGGAGCTGCCTTGTCCTCGTGTTCTCGGTCCCCGTGCCCCCAGCCCCTCTAACAGCGATATTCATTTTTGGCATAGGAGTCCTGCTAAGGTCACACAGCCAGGCTTCAGCCCCAGGAGCCATAAAGCATACCTCGCCTGACCCATGTGCAAAGGCAGCAATAGTTAACAGCCTTCCCTGGGGTTTCATTTCCCTGTCCCCAGTGTGTGCCATTGCTGCCTGCATTCCTCTCTGGTTCGGTAAGCCCTATGCCTCTTGAGCTGACACAGCTGATATTTCCCCTGCTGGCAGGGCAGGCGAGGTAGTGGCATTTAACTGTTAAGGAGATCCTGGCTTCAATAGTGCTGTGGGAGCCAGGAGCAGTAGGGATTGGTGCATTCCCAGGATGGATTTTTTTGTTCCCTTCCTTACCTTCCTTCTGCTTCATCCTGCTGCTTCTCCTGGCACTGACGATACCTAGGAATTGTTTTTTATGATGGGCTGTAAATGTCTAAGTTGGCAGAACTTTCCCAGGCACATTTACAACCCATCTCACCATGGTTTTTGGAGCATCTTTCGCCCTGGTGGCTGCAGTGCTCAAAAAATTTCCATTTCTGACCATGGAGGACGTCCTTCCTGCTGGCTACGTGGGACACATGGCTCTGGGGAAAGGTTTTAGGGGGTTTAACAAGCATAACTGATTAGCTGCCCACAGAGCATTGGTCCCAGCCTGCATTTTGGGAATGCAGTGCGCTGGCATTGCCTGGCTGTGGCACTCAGTGTCACTTGAGCTGTTGGCTGTTCAGAGCTGCCTCTACAACCGTCTGTAAGGACGTGTGCCGTGCTGCCTTGTAAGGTTTACTTTTTGCAGTGGAAGTGACAGATGACCGAGTTAAATGTTTTATTTCAAAAGAGAGAAAGCTTTGTTTTCTTGTGATGCTCAGGTTTAGATGTTTCCTGTCACCTGTGGTGTCAGGGACTAAACTCACACTGTCTTGGGCCCTGACCCCTGTTGCTGGAAGTAAACGTGCAGCTACTGTTACTGCGGGATTTTGGCTTCTCCTGCAGTTTGTGCTTTGGTATCAGTGAAAGCCAGATGTGCCGTAATGACACTTTTTTTTTTTTTTTTTTTTTTTCACTGCTTTTTGTGGCCATACATGGGCAGAGTCAGCTCTGGAATTCCTTTCCTACAAAATCAATAGTATCTTGTGGGTGGTGCTGGGGAATCACTCTGGTAGCACTGCCTAGGCAGCCTGTTCCCCTAGCAAACGTCCCAATTTGCACATTCCTCAGTGCTGTGTTCCTGGCTGCAACTACTGGGAGGCTGCTGGGGCAGAGGGGCTGGGAAGGTTTTGCTGTGCTGGTGGGTGCATTCCCCTCCTGCTGGGCTGCAGGTTGGCACAGGGCAGCTGTGGGAGGGTGGGAGAGGGCCATGCTGTGTCTGATGGTGGGAGCGAATAGGTTTTGTGTGAGGGTGGGCTCTGCCCTGGAAGCAAAATGTCTGCCTTCCCACATTGCTGCACAGGCTGAGTGTGCTGTTGGAGTGGAGAAGTATGGTGTTAATCTGCTTCTGTCTGCCATGGCATCCCCGTGTTGTGCATCTCTGCCCAGGCAGCAGTGAGGCTTTTCTCTTGAAGACTGGGGCCTCCTTGTTGGGACAGAGAGGTTTTTGATTACAGGCTGGAAGAATGGCTTTCGGATCTAGGGATGCTGTTGTCCTGAAGCTCTTTTTAGATGCAGGAGATCTTTGCACGTTTGGGACGTGTTCCTCTCCATAGGGTCAACTATGTGCTTTTTGTAAAGAACTGACTGACTGAGTCAGATGAGGAGAGTGTTTCCCTGTCCCAGTTGAGCAGCAGGATCAGGACCTCAAGGCCATGTGCAGTCCTGATTGTGCTTTACTGGCCGGGTTGGCCTGATGCCCCTCTCAGATGGGACTGGTTACTGGGTCTTGTCTTTTCTGATCATGAACAGAGACTAAATTTGCCTATTGGGTTTTCTGGTAAGGTAAGGGATGAGAGGAACATTTCCAATAGCAATTGTAGATGAAGGATGATGCATCCTGGACCTGCCCCTGTTGTGTCTCTCTATTCATCCCTGGAAGGGGACAAAATTGTCACACACTGAGCCAGGAGCAGCGTAAGGCAGGATGCGGCAGCGACACGCAGCACCAGGTTCAGACTGCACTTGGGTCAGCAATGGTGATGTGCTCAGTATTCGGAATTCAGGTTCAAGAGGGGCAAGTCGTCCCAGTGCCAAAGCCAGACAAAGAAGGGTGATTTTTTTGACATCCTTCGGAGTTTTGATCTCCATATTTGGAAATGTTTACCCATTGCTCTGATCTATTGCAAGGGAGGGGAGGTGACTCAGGGTCTGGTGGAAGCAGGATTTGAATTCCTTTAGTAAAGGGTTTTTTTTTTTTTTTTCTTTTCGTTCTTGTTTTGGAAGCTTCTTGTGGTCACTTTTCAGTTCTCTTTTGCTGCTGGACCTTGTTCCAAACTTGATCTGCGCGAGAGGGAAGCGAATTAGTGCAGGAGCTTGCCTGGATGCTGGTAAGTGCATCATTGCTGCTTTAGTGAGCGACCTGGGGTTTTTTGTTTCGTTTAGTGGGATTGCATCAACGTGCGTGCGTGGCTGCTGGTGGAGGCAGGCATGCGGATCAGCAGTCAGCAGAAACTGACCCAGCAAAGCCTTCTGTAGCAGGGAAAGGGAACTTAGTGGCTTGGGCTCAAAGGCAAAGTGTTTCTCCAGGCCTAGGTATAAAGATAATGTAAGCTCCCATTCAGTCATGCTCTTCTTGTTTCTGGATAACGCAGTGAGGCAGCGAAGCAGTGTAGAGTTAAATGGCTATATATGCATGTGGTCAGCAAGTAAAATATAGCTTAAGAAAGATCTCTGTCTCATGAGCGAGTGTGCGTGTTAAAAAGGCTGTGTAACACGTAGATATATTTATTTCAAATGTTAATATTTAACTGTCCTGTTAGAGAACTGGAGAAGTTTAGCATCTTTAACTGGATGAAGGAAAAGTGTATGGCTTCTCCTGTTACTCTTTATTTTTCCCTAGTGAGAAGTTTTTTCTCCATCTGATACCGCAGCTGTCTGCTTCTCTTCATTTTTTTCCCCCTTTCCTTTCTCCTTCCTGAAAGGAAACTGCGGCTCATCCAGAAAGTCAGGGATACAGGAGAACCTGGAGCATGCTTGGCTTCCTGTTTTATTCATGGCAACTAAAGCCACGCTCAGGAATCTGCAGTGGAGATCCACCGCTGCATTCCTCTTGTCATTTGGAGCATGTAACACGGACAGAGAGCTTTTAGTGGCAGCTCTGGGGGCTGCCTAGCAGAGAGCCCTGTGCCTCAGACACCATTACTGCACCTCATCCTGTGCTTGGGAAGGGCTGCTGCTGAAATACGACGTGTAGTTCCTCTGCTGGTTAGTGGTGCTTGTGTCTCTTTTGCTGACTGGTGTTTTTAGGCTGATTCAAACTTGTTACCATACTCTCCTGATTTTAAGCTTTAGTCCTCTTAGTTTTTTTTTTTTTTTTTTTTTTAAATTATTATTGTTTTTTTTTTTTTTTTACACCTTTGTTTTTCTTTTGC